GCTAAACCGCTAGACCACTGAGACCCAGGTCTATGATATTATCCACTATTTCCAATAAAACGCGTCAGATTGTGTCTCTCCATTTGTTATCTAGGGGTTATTTTTATTTCCTCTTTCTTCTTGACCGATCAGGAAAGGGTCTGCCAAAATTACTTCACTAGACGCTTATGTTGATTAACTGGTTCATCTGCTTAACCGTGTAGCCTTTGACCAAATATAAATATGCAAAAGTGACGTTAAGGTACACTTTCGACATACTCCTATACCTATACCATACTTAACATTTCAAAATTCTTAAAAATAACTAAAGTTAAATGTGCTTCAATAAAGTGACTTACTGTGTGTTATATTGTAACAATTAAGTGTGTTCCAGGAGTAGTGGTGATGGTGTTATAGAGAAATATTTACATGCACCGCCATCTACATACGTGATCGCATAGCAAGGAACCTACTATTTCAGATGTTACATGACTTTATCGAATTCATGAACCGGGATATAAAGTGCCCTATTGTTATCTCTATGCCACATAAAGTGTATACTGTTGGAAACTACAAACAAAAAAAAAATCCAACAAAAACAAGTATTAAAACCTCTTCAATAATTTATTTCATAATATTCAAATATAGAAGATTGTGTTGTGATGTGTGATTACGATTGTCATTTGCTTTCTGTTCTTCAATATCAGTTACAGCGCTGATTTATATCGAGGTTTTAATAAAAAATATATAATTAAGATTTATTAAAAATTTAGTGTTTTATAATTGTTTTCAACGATTACATCCACGCACCTCGTGAGATTCACACATATACCAACTATGAAGATTATATTATGCAAAGAGATAGCAAACTGCTTTGGAAACTGTCGGGTTACGAACCCTGATTAGATTATTTGCTTTTGCAATAAGCATATGCTGTAGGTAACTCTATTCTCCCAGATTTGAAATGAATCTGTACTGTTGTAAACGTGTACAACATTTATTTGAAAAAAATACGAGCCGAGTCTCTTGTCAGTTCTTCTTATCTCGAAATCATTCCGATCTGACAGTAGATTTTACATATCATAAGAGTATATAATAGATCTACATGAATAAAGATAATTTGAATTTGAAACAAACATAATTTCAAATTGACCACATTGAGAAGATTTGTAAATTTAACATGAAAGATGATAGAGTTTCCACATTTAAGTATAGACGGTATAATACACCATTTCTTTAATAAAATTAAAGAAAAATCTATTAGCATTTAATAATCATGACCTAAATAACATTTCTTACCATTTCAATTTTCCGGACTAAAGGGTGGGCGCTCCTTCGCCACGCGTCTTTGTGTCCGCCCCCCACCCCTTCCGCCCCTGACTCCCTAAACCCCCATTCCACCATTGTCGCATGGCACACAAGCTTTCAGAGTAATGAAGAGCATTTTCGTCCGATTCTGAACACAATGGCAGCTGTAATACAACGCACAGAGAGGAAACTTCTTTGTTGCTAGCAGTATTGTGCCTAACGTGTGTGTGTTACATGTGCCCTTGTTTTTCGTTTTGTTTATTCTTTGTTGTTTTTGATTGTTTGCGACAATACTCTAGGTAATGTAGAAGATTGAGGGATGGTTTACTATAGTTTATTGGTAGGTTGTATTTTGTCGCGCTCTAACATTTTTCTTAATTATTGAATTCAAATCTTTGGATATATTTTCCGGGGTTTTGTTAGCAATGTGGGAGAATTGACTTCGTCATGTGCTACTCCACATGCCTTGATTCCGAGAACTAAGATTCTTTCATATCAATTTCTTTATGGTAGACAGTACTATCAATGCAGATTACTGTGTAGTTACAAAACCTATCTCTGTAAAGGTAGCTCATTATTAGCGAGTAGTATTTGTTGTAGTCTACGCTGGTTAAGCCGCTGTACTCATAGCTATTGGTTATCGGAAAGTAGAGGACTCTTAATATCCCATTTGCTAATAATCTACCATTTCGTGTTGAATTCCACGCAGTTTCCCCTGGAAACCATCGTGATATATTCCTGGTGAATTTGCCATCATGGGCTAACTGTAGATCAGTCTTCTCTTGCTATTCTTATCATCATCCACAATAAACCTTAAGCACAGATGGGTGTACCTTCACATTATCATCCATTAAAAGAGACTAACGGTCAGCTACAATTTACTTGTACAATAAAAAAAAAGATATATGCAATTAATACTAAAGACACAATAGTTTAATACCTATTTCCACAACTACAACGGCATGCAGCAAGATCATTGTCCAGTGTTGCCAGCGCTTGTATTGTTTTCTGTCTGCGCGGGCGAACTGTAGGAAATAATTATTGTAAAGTGGCAACACTGCAGTGCCGCCACGTGTTCTTTGTAGGAGTTCCATTGATAATGGCAATGTTAATTAAACTCAGTATATTGATGTTATTATGAATGTATTTATTAGTTTCAAGTGATTTTCTCTCTTGATGAAAGTCGTTATATTTCATTTCGATTTCGCTTTCAACTTTACAATCTTTACTTCATCTGTAAGTTTATGATATAAACATAGTTAATTATAGTTCTCTTTTTTTATACAAGCAGTTTTCCGTGGTGCTGCTTGCGGTATCTACCTTATACCTTGTAAGTGTTTATTATGAACGGTTAAATATCAAAGCTAGTCTTTTACAATATCATCTGGGTGGCTATCTATGTCGGAATCCTTTCATCTAGCCGCAAAGCAGCTTTTTACTTTATTCCTTTTATCGTCCAAAAGTGAAATTGTATTAACTAAGTTAGTTTAGTGAAAATAAGTTAAAAAAATCACATGTAAATAATGTATATTTTTTATGAAATATTAATATGTACATTATTTTATTTTCGTCATAGATATATTAAAATATCCCTCCATCCTTTGATATCCTCTAACTATGTAACTAGACAACGTAAATAAATAAATACAAACCGAGTGATTATACATCTTTTTAAAATTCACTCTAAGTACCAAAGACTAAGTTAAGTTACGAACGCCATGCTCCAACCTCCAGTAGGAGACGGCACATAACGAAGAAGAACAGACACAATATATTAATACACACGAACACACAAAGCTATGACTAAATCTGGGTGGCCGCTACTATTGCTATAGACGTATGTATTTCAACAATTACCTTTTCTAATACACACAAACTAACGCAAGAACATTAACAATGTATGACTTTCAAATAGGTATTACCATCACAATCGTATGACGATACTGTTAATTTACAAGAAATGCAGAAAACTGTTCTCTCCAATGGTGACAGACGTCATTGTGTCGCACAATGTCGTGAATTCGTCGCTGCGGACAAGTGACTGGTGTGCACTGAGCGATTGATGGAAAACGGGTGTAGTTACAAGCCGTTTGTAATATAGATCTATTGTTAGATGTATGACTCGTGTTTGTTTTAAGCTTCTCTTTGTTGTTAACGCAAAACGCTATATTGCCGCTAATTACAAATCTTTGAATTTCTTTGTTATTTCTGTTCTACAATATTGCACATAAACCATCCACTTGAACCTATTGCGCAAACTGCATTAAAATCCGTTGCGTAGTTTACAAGATCTAATCCCACAGGTGCATTATAAATCTTTGAATATCTCAGCTTTTCTTTGTACTATTGCATGTATTTTACAGCAATCTTTCACTTAAATCTATCAGTCGCTGAAAATAACTTTAAAATCCGTTGCATAGTTTAAAAGACACAATTTGGGTGGATGTTTCGCAATTGAGTAAATACGCCATTATAAAATATCAAAAATCCATTTTAGGAAATAAGGAGAATTTTATTTGGAAAACTCAAAATACCATCACACTGTGACAGTACGTCCATTATATGTATTATTATCGTAAATACACGATCCTTATCAAGCATCGACAAAGCTGAAACCCTCCCCGAAGTATCGACAGAATAATGAGAAACCGGCAAAAACTTGTGTTGCGGAATGAAAAGCGCAAATTCGTCATTAGGCGGCGCTTTCCGCCATTGTTGTTGTTGTCCCCGTCTCGTTTACTAGACGCTGTGCACGCAAGAAGAAGACAACAGATGGTCCTCCGAGCCGGATTGTTCCTTTCTATGTTGGAGACATTGTTTTCGCTTTTATGCCCGCCTGAATCGGGATTGTCTTGTCTGTTTGAATGGACGGTGGCGCCCCTCCACCGTTTCAATACAGCCTTCTATAAATGTAGGGGAACAAAGGGTTGGTCTTTTGAATCGAGCTGGGAGACAGGTCGTTCGTGCCTTCGATTATATTGTATCGATTCAATGCCATTGTCTTTGCAATGAGGGATGGTTAGAGCAAATTACTTTTCTGTTTTTGTGTCTGTCTTCTAAATAGCCTGTGACAGGTGTATATTGTTTTGTTAGAAGGTAACACGATATGTTACGTTTGTTTAGTTAATTTTCTTAAGCAAACTACAAATATTTAAGTAGGTTAAGTCGATTATACTTATAAATATGATTTTGTACAAAGTTATATAGCACTGAAAGTACGAAGTATGGAAGCATAAAAACTTAGTTCACAATGTCTCGTTTTTTTTTCTCTTTTCTTTCCTTTTTCTTTTGTTCTGTTGTGCATATATATAAGTGCTAATTATGAAATAAGCTGACGATCCATCAGATATAATACGATCCTTCTAGTGACCGTCATCTTGTTTGCTTTTTTTCCAAATACCTAAAACAATAATAATTCAATTCATATTTACTTTGTACGAACATCTTATTGTCAGCTATGTTTTAATGAATTAATAATTTAATTTAATTTAATGAATTAGTAATGAGGATCATCGAAGATCGAGATAACGTCGATGATGAGATGATGTGACTGATAAAGAGGTAATGTGAGTTGACGACACGTAGTAACTCACATAAACCTTATAATGTCATTACTTTTATTGTAATAAAAATCGAACTCAAGACCATCAAGTAGGCAGTGTATCGAACAACTGCACCACAGCTGTCGATGTTAAAATACATAATTTTCTCAGGGGCGGAATGGAAATTACTAACGGAAGACGAAAAGCGGCCGTTCATTGACGAGGCCAAGCGACTCCGGGCCATGCACATGAAGGAACATCCAGACTACAAGTACCGGCCGAGAAGGAAACCCAAGACCCTGAGGAAGGAGGGCTATCCGTACTCAATACCTTATCCCAGCGTGCCGATGGATGCCTTGAGAGCTGGTAAGTAGTGCTTTAAATTGTATATTTATATTATTTTTTAACCAACTAAATAGTTCCACAATCAAAGTCCACTACATATAAATTACTCGTAAATTTTAAATTGATTCATGATATTAATTTTAAACTACGAGTAGCTAAATTGCTTCATAATTAAAGTTGACCACATGTATTTTTTTTGTAAATTATTCAAGTCAATGAATGTTAAATGTGAAAAGTGAATAGTTAAATGTAAAAAAATGACTAGTGAGTTTGTTAATTATTTAATAATTTCCTCTTGTTAATTATTTTTTGTATTAATTATTTTATCTTGCTACACTAAACTGGTAATAAATAAATAAATAGCGATTATACATCTGTATCTTCTATATATTGATCTCGCTAAGATTTTTACCGTTCATTATTTGTCAGAAACATTTAGAACACCCGTAGCTCTCTGTATTACGAACAATTAACCCCTTATCTATATAAAAACTAACTGAAACAGCTTTTAACAATTATAGCATTTCATCACTTTCTTTCACATTAAAAAAGCAGCTCTATAGAAAGGGACAAAACTAGATAAATTGCTAAAATAAGGTTTATTAGGCGTTTTTACGAACAAGCGGGTCAGTGTCTACAAATGATACAAATGCTTACAAAACATCTACAATGTTCTACTGCAATTTAGTTTTTATCGTATCATTTTAACGCGTCGGTTATTTCGGTCAGATACCCATTGTTGCGGTATACCCCGGGGGTCTAAAATTGCCACATTTAGGGATCCGTAAAAGTCTAACGCGAAACCTTTCCATGGTCTCGGGGATGCGATGGAAAATTTATATGTTATTTAAATATATGGAAAATCAGGTTTATAGCAGAATCCGTTAATCATCAAACTAAGATTGTGGGCTTTGAACAAACCTAAATAATTTTCTTCCTTTTTTTAACTTATAGCTTCCTCTATAACAACAGCTGTGATTTTCTGCCACGGACTATGTTAGAAATGACTCCGTAGATGACGTCGTTAACGTCGATTAAAGACCTAAATAGACTAAGACTTAATTGAGGTTCAAGGTCCTTAATCAATTATTCGATAAGCTTCCACCATCCAAAAAAAATTTTTTTTGGCTTGGTTGAATGTCAGTGAAGAAAGAAATTGATAATTGACTCAGTTAAATAGTTACATTTTAAGTTTACTATAAAGAAGGGTATACATATACAATTAAAACGTCTTGGCATTGCTTGAAACTTGAATCTAATATAATATGTAGGTATAATCTATTTATGTCAACTCGCACAATATTACTAAAATATATTATTCTGTGTGCGTATTTGTAAGCGGTAGCAAATAGCTGCTTATTATAACTAAACGGAACCCACAGTGCGTTATTCTAGTTCGTGCTTGTCACAGTTTTTGACAGTGTGGCTGTCATTACGCGTTATAAAACTGAGTCGTTTGTGTTGCGATTAAGTGTTATGTTAGTGCATTATAAACTGCTTTAGTAGCTTTTATATACAATACCTACATACAAACCCGTATACCTTTCACACGACTAGAAAAGAAAGGGTTATTTTCGCTAGTCTGTTTCTGACATTCAAAAGCATTTACGCATGACGCGTGTAACGGATTACTTGTCATTTTTTTTATCTACGATGGTGGCAATTAAGCATACGGCCCATCTGATGGTAAACGTTCGACCTAGCCTCGTCTGAAACACCGGAGGTGTGGTGTGCTGCTAACCCTATGCGAGGTGTGATCTTTAGAGAAAACCTCGGCAGGTAGTTCATACCATAATCTAAGTGTATGCAGGAGGGAGCTCCTCTGGTGTCCAGGTCTCTGATTTATATCGTTTCTTATCACTGTTTACCATCACAGGGACTTTATTTGGATTTTTTTTACATACAATGCTCTTGGGGTCAACCAGATTCGATCTCATGACCTTCGAGGTCCATCGTGATAAATTCAAGATAAATTTACCACATTGAGCTAATTTACCTGATCTCATGGTCATCTTATCATCCTCTCCTGATGCCCCGCCAATGTAAACCGTTAGCAGGCGGGTGCACCATTCCATTATCATCCATAAGATAAAAAAGACCTTCGATGTCTATAAGACGGGGTAGTTAACCACTAGGTCATTGGGTCTGTTCATAAATTATACGTACATATATCAAAATTACAAGCCCCGTTACACCAAATACGGCAAATCTTTACAACAAAAGTTTATATAAAAATAACGTGGACACAATAGCTCCATTGGACGTTATCAAGCTATTCATTGGATGTCATCGGATCCGCCATGTTATTGTGATTACACAACCGCGGTGCTGCGTTTGAACTGTTCAGCTAGTATTTAGTTTAGTGATAGTTGAGGTAGTTACTGACTTTGAAATTTTCATTGTTATGATATTAATTCCGAAAGGCTTCGATGGTCTAGCGATTTAGCACAGCGCTTTACTTCCGATGGTCGCGGGGTGGATTCCCCGCACGACACAAACATTTTTATTCATGAGTATGATTATTTGTATCGGTCTGGATGTTTTCTATGTATGTTATGTATGTATTAGCAAAAAAAAAACGTATTTATGTATTTACTATTTATATCAGTTGTCTAGTACCCGTAACAAAAGCTCTGCTTAGGTTTAGAGGATGCTGTTTGGATTATCTAGGAATTTTATTTATTTATTATGATAATATGATACCGGGCTAAGATGATGATGATGATGATGATGATGATGATGACTATGATATTAATTAAACTAAACAAGACCAGCTAAAACTAATCTAGTATTGTTAATATCTATTTTTATTTGTTGTATCTTGTTTGTAGCCAGATTAGTGTTATACCTATAGTTCATAATGAATAATATTTAATTAATTAAAATTTTAAAAATTTTGGTCGAATTAGTATAATTTTTATATACGGACACAATATCTTATATATTATGAATACCACAATCCAAAATATTTTGATTATATTTATAAAGTAAATAGAAATAATCGTCATATTTCCTTGAGTCTACCGCTCATTCGGAACGCAGATTCATCACAAGAAGACTGAGCAAAACAAGACAGTAGTTCAATAACTAGCTCAAGAGAACTTTCCTACTCAAATGAGGCATACAGGTCACTCGCCCCAACTTGCGACAAAAAGTCCGCCCACCGTCACGATTTTTTGTCGTGATTTCTAAACCGAAGCACAGATACACGTAAACTTTAAGAAAAAATATTTTTTTTTATCATCAATCTTGTTATTAGATATAATAACGGTCCATTAAATTGGAGTCGATCAAACACTTTCTTACAGTTTCTTACAAGTTTGACATTAATGTCTCTATTTAAAGTTCAGATATGGCCATCAATTAAATTGGCTTATAAAAAGACCCTTATATTTAATTGTAATATTAATCCATTCTAATATTTTAATGGGAATGTATGGTAAATCAATCTCATCAGTTGACGGTCGCAGTGGTTTATCGGTTTTGCACACCGCTGTATTCCCAATGGTCACGGGTTCTCTTTCCCGCACGACGTAAACATGTATTCATGAATGATTGTTTGTATATATTGATATAGGTGTTATCTATGTATATTATGAGGGTACATATTAATAATATATATCTATATCTATTCTCTTGTACCCATAACAAGCTCTGCTTAACTTAGAAATAGATGGCGTCGTATGAATTGTTCTGATCTATTATTATTATTAGTCAGTCTGTTTGTTACCTTTTCACAACTAAACAACTTAATGGATAATCATATTTCATTTAGATAAATATAGACTAAATTATTGTAATCATACAAGATCATTTGAAAAGAATAAGTGCTGAGTTTCTTGTCAGTTCTTCTTAGCTCAAAAGTAACTACGAAGTGACGGTAGATTTGACATATCATGAGATCCTGTAATAGAACTACAAGAACAACTAAAAAAACTTATTAAAATACCACAGAACTAATAGTCTCTAATTATTAGACTCTAACTAAGCTATATCGATTGCTTGGTTTTTGTATAAGTTGTATATTAGCAATAAAAAATATCCTATTGTAAACAAAAATATATGCATTTATTATTAATTAGATAAGATTCTTTCTTGCTACCTTCGTCTTTCTTTATTTTCTCTTCTTTACATTCATACGAATTTAATTATTAAATAAATTTTAAATGCAAAGTAATTTAGAAAAGTTAGATAAAAAACTTAAATTATCTGTTTTTTATTATTATTATACTTCTTATCAACTATGCCATCCGGAATACGTTCTCGAAAATAGACATATCAGTATTACGGTAAACAGAGACATTTTATACCTACATTTATCTCCATTCAGTGACTACGGCCGCTATCATTCCTTTATCCCTATCAAATAAGGCGCGTCTCACATTGTCCCACCCTTATCGGCACAGGCTCTGCCCAACAAAAGATTCAAAACATGAAAAGCGTTCGAAAATGGAACGAATAGTTTAAACCGTCTTGGCTGCTTTTGACAGTTGACAGTTTTAGCTGTCAATGCGTAAGCGACAATGGGGGTTAGTTAGGGGTGCGTCAAATTTCACGTCCGTGGGGTTACAGTATTGACATGCGATTACAAATATTGAAAGTTTTTGAAGGGCAGTGTTGTGGGTTGTTATTGAATTTTTAAGGGGTCTTGTGGGCTATCAAACTCATTGTGTTATGTCAATTTGTCTCTGCTTCGAAGTAATTAAATTTAGTTTTAATTAATTCTTGAATCTTCTAAATAATGAAATGTGTACAATGTTATTGAATTTTTAAGGCGTCTTATGGGCTATCAACCTCATTGTATTATGTCAATTGGTCGCTGCTTCGAAGTAATTAAATTGAGTTCTAATTAATTCTTGGATCTTCTGAAGAATGATATGTCTACAATGTTATTGAATTTTTAAGGCGTTTTATGGGCTATCAACCTCATTGTGTTATGTCAAATTGTCGCTGCTTCGAAGTAATTAAATTTAATTCTAATTAATTCTTGAATCTTCTAAATAATGAAATGTGTAGATTAT